ATTCTCCATGCAGTGTTTATTGTATATGAGATATCAAAATTATGTACAGGCTCTTTAAAGATGTTAATAAAATGTACAAGCTTTAAAAATGTTTACCCAAATTTTAATAATGATGACTCCCTTAATAGAATCCGACCTCGGCAATACCGGACAAGTCCATTTTATGAACAGGTGGGTTAAGTTTGGTATTTCTCGCATATTCTCACAATCCTCACGTCGATTATCTGTACCTTTTCTCCTAATACCGATGTTATGTTAAGGTAACTATTTTTAAAGCTTGTACATTTTATCAACATCCTTAAAGAGACTGTATATAATGTTGATATCTCCTATAAGAAATAAACGACTCGTGGTCGTTGTTTATCGTTTGCGCCCCTCGTGGTTTATTCTCCCTGCAGTGTTTCATTGTACGATAAACAACTCCCACTCGCCGTTTTTTTCTTAAGGATAGTAAACGACTAATCGTGGCGCATGACAAAATTATACTGTGGCCTTTGTTTACCTTGAATTTGAACAGAGGTCTGCCAAGATGTGTTGTACGACCCTAAATATTCAGACAATGGTAATTAAGGAACTGTTTTACGTGGAAGTGTGTGAGGGCTTATGGGAGATATAATCTCATTTTCAGCTGATTTCACACACTATTACCATAGGTTCTTGGCGTGTCTAAAGACTGCTACTACGGCCATGTTTGCGAAGGTTAGTGAGTGTGTCCGGTTTAACGCCGATTTTAATAGCATTCACGTTATATCACATCGTGTCAGCTTAATGTGGGAGGAAATCCCGAAGGCGGTCTGAGGCGTTTACGACGAGAAGCCCACGGGCACGGGTATGGTGCTGACAAACCTAGAAAAATCGGGGATAACCGGGATTCGAATCCACAATCATAGGTTTCTGGCGTTCCCAAGGGACGCAACTCTAGACAGCGAATTGTGGCGCTTTAGACGACTGGGCCATCTGTGCCTTCTTTCGAAGGTTGACAAACGATGCCTTTCTGTGTCGCGGGGACGTACACAGCGGGTTTAGTGAATCTATAGAGTGCGTTTTTCATCGTGTCTCTCTCTGCAGCATCACATCGAAAACCTAAATCTACTCCATACATATGAAAATGTGGGAACCAACATGAGCACGCCCAGCTAGACTTACCCACCGTTAAAATCCAATAATAGATGATGCTTAGACTAACGCTTAGTCGCTGAAAATATATTATTTATATAGAAACAAACAACTCCATTTAAACTGAAAAGGAGCGCCAGGGACGTGGAAGTTTCAAACATGAACCTTTGTAAAATCTAATTTGCTTCATTTTGAGCGTTTAGTGTGAGGGCTAGGCGGAAGGGAATAAAATATGGTTCAGGGACTGTGAGACAGGCTAGATGATGCTATCCCTAGGCGTCCGCTACACTGGCGTGTGTAGAAGATCCGCGAGGATCTGTAATCATCTGAGTGACTGACTTAATGCAATGAAGGGGGTAAGAAGATTAATGGCATATCCCGGTTACTGCAAAACAAACACAATCTGTCGTTCCAATGCCCAGTACATCATTCTAACTTGTCTCCAGGAGCCAAAACAAATACGACCTATCTAAATGGAGTAGAAACAGTTCGTACCGATCTATGGTGAAACTGGGGATGTGTCTACAAGCTTCAGCTCTTCTGTTGATGCGGTCTAGCCACTGACCTCATCGGGAGATATATGCGCATTATATCTTTCATATGGAATGCTGTAAGGGACATTCTCGCGATCTCGACCTTTGGAAACAAATATGCCAAAAAGACGAGAATACGAGATCGCGAGATTTGGCCAAAATCTCGCGTTCTCGCGATCTCGCATGCTCGGTTTTTTTTGGCATATTCAGCTCGCTTCCAAAGGTCGAGATCGCGAGAATGTCCCTTACAGTATCCCATACTGTCACGAACAACCTCAAATCACAAAGATTCTGCATAGTACCATCAAGTGAAATGTATGTATTTCATAAGAAAGACTTGACGGTTCTTCTGTCAGCCGTCGCTGACGTAGTCATAATTTCTATTCAGTATTCAGGGCGAGTTTGTCGGTTAGATTGTTAATTGTTAATTGTTTCTTTGTTCTTAACGTCGCACTAAGCACAATGCCAGCTATATGACTGTGGTCTGTAAATAATCGAGTCTGGACAGAACAACACAGTGATTGACATCATGTGCATCGATCTATGCAATTGGGATGAGGTGACGTGTATCCCATAGCTGCCTCTTATGACAGGCATGGGTTGCTGAAGACACTGACCCTCAATGGAATATACAGCACGCCTACCAACATAGGTGGTTCTGTATGTAAGACTGTTGGTACCAACAATAACAGTACGCGTGAAACCAATCAGATATTGCTGTTAATGTAAGTCGCGTGAGACAGTGGTGTCATTGTGAAACAACTCGGACAATGATGTCAATGTGAAAAACATCAGACAATGGTTTAAGTGTGGACAAAATCGAACAATGGTGACAATGTGAAACACATCAGACAATGATGGTAATGTGAAACAAATCAGACAATGGTGTAAATGTCGGACAAATCAGACAATGGTGTCAATGTGGGACAAATGAGACAATGACAATGTGAAACGAATCAGACAATGGTGTCGATGTGAAACACATCAGACAATGGTGTCAATGTGAAACACATCAGAAACTGATGTTGGTGTGAAACACATCAGACAATGGTGTCAATGTGGAACACATCAGAGAAGGGTGTCAATGTGAAACAAATCAGACAATGGTGTCAATGTGGGACAAATCAGACAATGGTGTCAATGTGAAACGAATCAGACAATGGTGTCAATGTGAAACAAATCAGACAATGGTGTCAATGTGAAACAAATCAGACAATGTTGCCAATGTGAAACAAATCAGATAATGTTGTCAATGGGAAACTAATCAGACAATGGTGTCAATGTGGAACACATCAGAGAAGGGTGTCAATGTGAAACAAATCAAACAATGGTGTCAATGTGGGACAAATCAGACAATGGTGTCAATGTGAAACAAATCAGACAATGGTGTCAATGTGAAACAAATCAGACAATGATGTCAATGTGGGACAAATCAGACAATGACAATGTGAAACAAATCAGACAATGTTGTCAATGTGAAGCGAATCAGACAATGGTGTCAATGTGAAACAAATCAGACAATGTTGTCAATGTGAAACTAATAAGAAAATGGTGACAATGTGAAACAAATCAGACAAAGTTGTCAATGTGAAACAAATCAGACAATGGTGACAATGTGAAACAAATCAGACAATGGTGACTATGTGAAACAAATCAGACAATGGTGTCAGTGTGAAACAAGTCAGACAATGACAATGTGAAACAAATCAGACAATGTTGTCAATGTGAAGCGAATCAGGCAATGGTGTCAATGTGAAACAAATCAGACAATGTTGTCAATGTGAAACTTATCAGAAAATGGTGACAATGTGAAACAAATCAGACAATGGTGACAATGTGAAACAAATCAGACAATGGTGTCAATGTGGGACAAATCAGACAATGACAATGTGAAACAAATCAGACAATGCTGTCAATGTGAAGCGAATCAGACAATGGTGTAAATGTGAAACAAATCAGACAATGTTGTCAATTTGAAACTAATCAGAAAATGGTGACAATGTGAAACAAATCAGACAAAGTTGTTAATGTGAAACAAATCAGACAATGGTGACAATGTGAAACAAATCAGACAATGGTGACTATGTGAAACAAATCAGACAATGGTGTCAGTGTGAAACAAGTCAGACAATGCCGACTAACAATCTATGTGAAACAAATCAGACAATGTTGTCAATGTGAAACTTATCAGAAAATGGTGACAATGTGAAACAAATCAGACAATGGTGACAATGTGAAACAAATCAGACAATGGTGTCAATGTGAAACAAATCAGACAATGACAATGTGAAACAAATCAGACAATGCTGTCAATGTGAAGCGAATCAGACAATGGTGTAAATGTGAAACAAATCAGACAATGTTGTCAATTTGAAACTAATCAGAAAATGGTGACAATGTGAAACAAATCAGACAAAGTTGTCAATGTGAAACAAATCAGACAATGGTGACAATGTGAAACAAATCAGACAATGGTGACTATGTGAAACAAATCAGACAATGGTGTCAGTGTGAAACAAGTCAGACAATGCCGACTAACAATCTATGTGAAATAAATCAGACAACTGTGTCAATAAAGTATAGTGTTTAACGCGGGCAGCCCTGAACGGAAATCCTGTTATATCCCGGCAAGTCAGCTTCATGTGGAGGAGTAAAACCCTGAATGATAACATACACAATAAACACACACTGCCATAAACATTTTATTTCATTCATGACTGAATTTATTCCATGGGTGGACCTGTAATATTAAATATATATCACGTGACTAAACTATTTCGATACATGATCTTTATTTATCTAAGTAACCATCATTTTAACTTTAAGCATTCATAGCTTGTAGTGATGTACTCACATTGCCTTAAACAATGTGTTCAGAGATAAAATCCGGTGTGTAGAAAAGGTGCAATAATTCACACAAAATTGTGTGATTTTTTAAAAACATATCGTGGTTGCATATACCACGTACAGAGGTCGAATGCACAACTTTATACCGGCGTTATGTAACTTAAGAGGTGTGATATGTAACGTTCCGTTAATGATATAAAACAGACCTTATTAATATAAAATAAATCTAGAAACCGTTAAAACAAAGAAAGTGTGTAAATTTCGAATGAATCTCAGAAGTTAGACCGTTTTGAACTATTCAGGAACGCACCGAAAGAAAATTATCCAACAAAACTCTCATAAAATCCTGATATAGTAACTTTTAGTGATCAGCGCATATTCACTGAAGAGTTGCGTCCCCCTTAACCGGTGACGGTTCAAATTGAGAGCCTATACAATTTATTTCACCAAATAGTATTCTTTTTTTTCCTTAATTGTAAAGTATCATTTCCAAAAGTTTTCTTATACACTGTTCTTTTACTTTGTTTAATAGTAATTCAGGTTGTGACATGTACAAAAAGCATGAATATGTGTTATAAAACAAACATACAGGCGAAGCTATTCGGATTATGGGAGTGATTCAATATTTGTGACACCGTCTTGTCACAACATGTGGTGAAAGAAAACGTGTAAATTTGAACATTTTGTCGTGCTCGGTCTGGAGATCAGCTGAGAATGACGAGTGGGGAAGATGGTGGTGGTATTCCGAGTGAAATGAAAGAAAAGCTGGCATCCTTTGATTCAGCTTTGACCAGCCTGGAGACAGAGTTGAAGCCGCTTCTAGCGAAACCAAGAATGGAGTTCTTCGAAAAGGTGGCACTGAGAACGAGATATTAGGAGGCTTTGTATCTGTTAGCTGTTAATGTTATTATCATGTCGATGATCACTGAAATACAACCATCCCACAGTCACGAAGTTATCGATTTAGATACTAGACAGAAACCAACTGTAAAATAGGCCTAACTTGTCCTTCTTCAAGGTCTTGATTTCCAATCTAAACAACCATGGCTCTTATGGGTACTGTCGTATTTATCAATGCCCCCACAACGATTTTGTGTGGGTTTTTTTCTGTTTCTTTGTGTTTTCTGTGCAACATCGAGTATATAACAAATAATTTAATATGGCTAGTGTTTAGGTATAGTGTAAATATGGCAGTCTAACAATGAGAGGGTGGTATCTCACTCTGCTTGTTGTGACCAGTACAACACTGCAAGAAACAAGAAGAGATGACTGTGATCATGAGTTAGTTGACTGAATTATTTAGTGTTCATACGGTTCAGCCAAGAAATAAATGTAGTTTATTTTCATGCTGTGTGTCAGCCAATGAACATGAGGAATGAATGTATTTCAATAATTTGATTGTGAATGTTTCATGGGTTCATGGCTTTATAGCCAATATATTTTATGAATTAGGCCCCTAACCAGTATACACCGTTGTATCCCCAAGTCGCCCGTTTTCAAACCACTTAGCAATACATAACCACTTGCTTAATGACGTAATCAAGGCAGACGCTAAAAAGCCCACTGAAGACATCAAAGTGTTCGCCACCGGAGTTATGTTTCAAATAAAGCTACATTAGGAAAGGTTTTCAATAAGTAATGAAAACATACCTCAAAACTTATTTTTTCACAAATGCACATTTTAGTAAACTTGATCTGTTGGTAAATTTGGATCAGGACAATAAGTCCGAAATATTACATGACAGTTTATTGTGTGATGACCATGATCACTGTAACACAGTATTTGAAGTGGTGATGATACGTTTGCACCTACATTGTTTAGGCTGCAGAGTTTGCACTTTGCTGAAATCAGTGCCAACACTTTCAGTCTTTTGAGTCTGGGCTTAAAACTCATTTTTTCCAGCTGACTTCTTCTTCGTCTTATGCCAGTGACTCTCATGTTTCAGCTGGAGCCCCTGGACATGGGGAAGATGGACTTGGTGGCATCGTATGCAGTCAACTCATTGTTCTGGAGTAAGTTCCCCCTGCACAGTTTCCAGTTCACTTTGTACACTTCTTGCTACTCCTCATCACAGTCCTTCACAACACCAGACAATTCCAGTTAGACCCATCTCAGATAGTGTCATCAGCATGTTCAGACACTTCGAAGAATGACCTCAATTCTGATTAGTGTTTGGATTCAAATAAACATGATAAAGGATTAAACATGTCGAGAAGTCATCATTTTTACAAATCAAATGTTCAACATTAACACATATTATAGGATTGTTTAGGTCCTTTGGCAAAAATATGTAGCCAAAAGTCTGATGCTGTTCAGCGACAAGTAACAAATCTATCTGACAGTTGTGGGAAAATTCCTGCAGCCCGAAAGAAAAGTTACCAGCCATGGGCAGGTGGGCAGGCAGTTATTTCAGACACACCCACAGACTTGGACTATTGATTATAGTACTTTGTTCACTAAGTAATTCTGTGCTCCTGTTGTTGCAGTGTATCTGAATGTGTGTGGAGTCAACCCCAAAGACCATGCCATCAAGCAAGAGCTGGTAAGAAGGGATTTCTCAGTTTGCATTTCAAGAGTTGCCTCCCTGTAAGCTCTTCTCTAACTTGTAGAAAATCCGTTTTTAAAATAATGCAGTTTTACTGCCAGACACATCATCTCCAAATTTGTGGTACATACAATTTGAAAGTATATTGTGAAGGGTTTCCATTTACCATTGTATTGTGCTCCAGGAGCGTGTGCGTGGATACATGAACCGCGTGAAGGAGATTCAAGACAAAGCAAAGGCCCCAAAAGTTAATGCTGGAGCTGCTAAACGTATGGTGAAGAGTGCTCTTTGGCAGGCAGCACAGAAGAAGGTCGAGCAACAGGGTAGAGGTGAGACCAGTCACATGTTTTTGGCTAGTTACTTGGCTGGAGTAAAGCCAGTCATAGACTGGTCACAGTCACATAGCCTGTCACAGATTTGATTCACAATGGTGGGACCTACAAAAATAAGTCATTGGATATACCCAAACAGGCTTTAAGCAAAAGAATCATGAGTGTGAGTGAAATGAACTCAAAAGAAAAACTCCAAATCACACAATTAATTTGTGTAATACATCCCTAATGGTTCAACTGTGGTTAAACTTATCTGTGCCCTTACTCTACATATTTGTGGCGAGTAGAAGTTAATAAGGGCCAAAGCAGTGTTACATAAGTACTCTCTTCTATTCAGACGAGGAAGGACCTTCGCAGTCACGACATTCCCTTAATGCCCCTGGTGGGAGCAGGAAGAGGAAGTTGGATGACGTTCAGGAGACGAGGAAGGGGAGGAGAACCAGGTGACAGGATGCCAGTCAAGTGAATGTAGAGAAGATGGTGTACTTCGACATACTGCCAGCAGTATGCTCTAGGATGGGGATACACTGGTTTCCTGGGCTAGTTGTCCTATCTCACTCTTGAAATGCTGTGTATCCATTGGTGAGAACTTGACTCACATGGTCCTTGGCAAGTTCAAGACAACATGAATCACTGAATGTTGTGATAGTCCCTATCAAGACTCAGGGTGCAAGGACTGTATGTTGGATAAGTGTTGATGATGTCTAACAAGATGCAAAGTTATGTATTCAAATTATTGCTTGAAATCCTGATAAAATGCTTTTCCAGGAACATTGATTAAGGGAGTTGAAGCGTGTACCGCTGTTCAGTCAAGACACTGGGAAGGTCAAGCTGCTTATTTAGTGTGAACTTAGTTGAATCCTATTTCAGACATGAGACACACAGGTCACTGGTCACAGGTCCAACACAATAAAGCACCATTTAATTTTCAAAAGTATATATGAAGGTCAACTTGCATGTGTTGCAGATAAAAAAGTTATTAAATCTCATCACATAGAGCCAGGCCCTGCTGGGGGTTTAAAATACCATGGAAATATAGTTGAAATACTGTTAAAGACCAGACTTAAACCCCACAATAACATTACCCTATTTAAGAGAGCTGTTGACATAAAAGTGACATTTTTGGTCATGGTGAATACCACTAAAGGGATTTACCTGTGTTATTTATTTTGGGGTTCAGGGGACACACAATCTTCAATTGTAGGGGGCGGTCAGGTAGCCTAGTGGTTTAAGCGTTTGCTCATCACGCCGAAGACCCGGGTTCGATTCCCGACATGGGTACAATGTGTGAAGCCCATTACTGGTGTCCCCTGCCGTGATATTGCTAAAAGCGGCGTAAAAACCTCACTCACTCAATTGCAGGAGTCCCATGTTTAAGATTGGTGTTCCCAAGAAATGACAAATATTGAATATATCAATGTTGATTCAAATAAAGTAGCTTCTTGACTTGCTGGTTTTTATCATATTTAATATGTGATATCATATGGAAGTTTTCCTCATGTTTGTTTGCACTTATTATAAAAGATGTACTCAAACTCCCCCCCCCCCCCCCCCCCCCGAAATAACATTCACATCTAGTTTTGTCCTGCTTTGAAGCACACACTTCACCCCAATCAATACAGAGATAGTACTCTACCATCTGACCACAATTGATCCATGCAATCGGGATACGCTGACATGCATCAACCAAGTCAGCAAGCCTGACCACCCGATCCAGTTAGTCGCCTCTTACAAGCATAGTCGCCTTCTACGGCAAGAGACTGCCCGTGGTCTTGTGGTAGAGTGTCCGCCCAGAGAGTGGAAGGTCCGGGGTTCGATCCCCCGCCGCGTCATACCAAAAGATGGTACTTGTTGTTACCCTGTCTGGCGCTCGACATTAAGGGGGTAAAACAACGACTGGTCGGCTCGGGGTCAGTATACTGTGTCTAGTGGGGTATTCATGTTAAACTGCGGCATGATATCTCAGTCAGCTAGCACTATAAATCAGCATCAGTCCATACAAGTACAAGCAGACACACACACACGTGCATGCACATCGCTATATAAGTGCAATAATTTTGGACATGACGTTAAACCCCATTTCACCTCAACTCTACGGCAAGCATGGGTTGCTGAAGACCTATTCTACCTGAATGTATTAAGTGGTATCCAATTATTCATTCCTTAACATGCGTAAAAACTTGTGGTTGGGTTCTGTATATCTTTCCAATTTTGTGTGCGTTGGAAGCAGGATTTCCCATCCTGTGACTCCCAGCACTATCTAAAATGAGCATAAAGCTAATGTTGACAGACTACAGTGATGTATGTTCCTGGTACAAAACATGTAGGACAAACACTGTGTTGATGTGTAAAATATTTATTGCACAGGATGATATAAACAGGTATATCACAGTGGTTGTGGCAACAACGAAGTGCAGAATAACAAAAACTTGTATAGAATTCAGTTGTGTGAACACTGACTAAAATATTTTATACATTATTGAAGTGTATGATCCCCGAGAGATATAGTTCATCATGACATTTCAGGGCAATCCCTTCATCAAGTGACCAAACCATTCACAGGGTGAGCAAAGCTGATTAAGGGGCAGGAAGTAGCCCTGAAACGTCGAAACAAGTAATAAAGAAGTTGTTATACAACCTTTCAATTTCTGAATGCCCATCAAGGGTTGTATGACAGACAGACATGTTTTGTGCATTTCAGGCCACGTGACCAAAGTACATATAGTATTACAAGTACTTTTAGAGTTACCACTACTCTCATATTGACTTATATTATGCATATAAATATTAATGAGGTTTAGCAAAAGAAAATACATTCGAGAAACTTAGTAAATGGAACTAAAATATTGATATCTTTTGAGGTACACAAACTTTTAAGTGAGTAGTACTGGTTATTTGTTAATCTTGGTAGTAAATCCCTACGGTTATCTTCATAGAACATGCATACATATACAACATGTGCTTCATCTTCAACTGATCCACAATGTTTACAAAGAATCTTAGGATCACCAAACGTAATATTAAAGGTTGTATGATGCCACATCAGTTGGCAGACTAGCACAGAGCTGCTCAGTAACAAGCCTGGCCAGGTGTCGGATAAGTGCTCTTTCCCCAGTGCCCAACGTGTATATCAGTAGGAAAATAACATGGAATGTTAAAGAAGTACAACAAATTTAATGACAACAAATCCCTTCAGAAGTAACTCATTAAACATAAGAAACAAACTGTTCACGATCAGGTGATATGGACATTGGACGGTTTTACATCACATCTTCATACATGTTCCTTATGAGAGGAATAGTAGTATACAGCCAATTCTTGAACATGCTTAACATATGGGAGCTGAGATCACCAGTCCAGTTCTCCATTAGTCTCAGTTCTGGACCATGACACCAGTAGTTGAATGTGCTGTCAAAAGCAACATCACAAAGTAATCTAAGAACTCCAAATTCTAGTTCAGGAGTGCATCACACAGATCTAGTTCAGGAGTGAAACACAGATCTAGTTCAGGAGTGCATCACACAGATCTGGTTCAGGAGTGCATCACACAGATCTGGTTCAGGAGTGCATCACACAGATCTAGATCAGGAGTGCATCACACAGATCTAGATCAGGAGTGCATCACACACATCTAGTTCAGGAGTGCATAACACAGATCTAGTTCAGGAGTGCATCGCTCAGATCTAGTTCAGGAGTGCATCACACAGATCTAGTTCAGGAGTGAGGTGAAAAGATCTATAGTTGAAACTCTGAGCTAAAACAGACAATGTAAGAGTCTTGCCAAGTTTGATGACGCTTTCAAAGGAAAGTTTCCCGATCTATCTAGGTCCCAATGGTACCAGGATCTGTGCATGCTCCTATTGGAATTACAACATCTGAAGTTAAATTTGGATTTCATGGAGAACGATATATGGGAATATCCTTTCGATCCCATTTGACACACTGTTTTAATTTGTATGGAGTTTCACAAGATATCTAGTATAAAGGTGAGAGGTTGTTATGAGCTTTCTTAAACTTTAGGCAGACTACTAACATTGACTACGATGACTGGAGTTCCAGGCTCACGTGGTACAGAAGGCTTACTGTATACAGGTGTGAACGTTACAACGCCAAGTGTGGATGAACATCCGTGATTATCCAAAGGCAGAAGGCAGCAAATTTGTAACCATGGTTACATAATACTGAAGCAAAGGAGCCAACTCCAGGCAATTGTTTGTGTCAGTAGTTGTACTCACTGAAGTTAACCTCATTTGGGTTCATCACAGTCAAGAACACATGCAAATCATGGGGTTTCCCAGGACATAAATGACCCTCACCGTTTATTGTGCGTTGTGAGGTGACACTCTTTGGTACATTTCAAAACCTAAATTTGTGTGATTCCGGGTTCGAACTGGTCGCTAGTAACCTATGCCGTTTGTAAGAGCTAACTAAACCGATTGGGTGGTCAGACTTGATGACTTGGTTGATTTGATGTCATCGTATCCCGATGGCATGGTTTTTAATATCAATCACTGGATGGTATGGTCCAGACTCGATTATTTACAGGTCACCTGAGTGCAGCGTTACACAACAAACAAAATGTTAAAGCGTGAAGCAGGTTGTGTAAGATAGAGCTCGAGCAGGGACAGGGTTGGCCGTCCAAGTGATATATACCCTGTATTCACCCAGTGCATGATAATATCAAACTGAGCCTGGATCCACCAGCTCCTCTCAATCTCCCATGTTTCCTTCCATTCACACATAACAACATGAAGCTTTCATCATACACAGAACACATTATGCTACCTACATTGATTATTACTCTCTATGCCACGAACTCCATGCATGGGTCGACACAGGTCCCCAGCAAAAAATTCAGTAAATAACATGATTGAAGTAGGAGTGAAGTAATCAAGAAGTTTCCTCAGCGAATTCGGGGCTCGATTTATAGAACTTTTATTTAAATTGCACCAGGTGCATGTTGACATGAAAACCAAGTTGCACCCAAAACAAATCCAGGTCCTATAAATTAAAGTTGAAACTGGCCGGACTGCTGCCATTGTCACATACGTCTATAAAGCGACCCCCCTGCACAAGTCTTCAAAATCGATGCTTATTTATATACCCCGTCTATAAATCGAATCGGAATGAAGCACATCACCAGTGCATACACAATCCCTACATTTGCAATAAAAACGTGTTTGTCTTCCGCAGAAAAAATTACATTGTATCCCTTTAGTGAATTCAGGGAAAGGGGACAGATGATAACAAACTTGGTCAATACAAATTTGAAATTTGAGACAAAACATCACTACACATGATGATTTACCAATTAAAATGTATTGGGTTGCATATTCCAATAATAGGTTGCACTTGTGCATGTTTCATATAGCTAAATCAAGCCCTGGAATTTGCTATGGAAACTCTGAACTCAGGATTATGCTGAATATGATACAACACTGGACATCAAGCTTCGTCCTGAAAGACATGCTTAGTTTGCACTGGTTGAGATTACAGCTGTCATCATGGTCATGCATAATCTGGACGGTTTTATTGTAAAAGAGATTATGTTCTAAACTCGTCTTTAAAAGACAAAAATATTGTGACTATGAAAAATCATCTTGCCGAGACAAGGGAGATAACTGACTATAAAAGTCCCATTTCCACACTTAGCAAAGTAGGATGGAATTTCATGGCTCTGTCATAGTCTCACCAGTAGCTATTATGAGTTATTGATTCCACCTCTCATGTTACTTGCATTTGTTTGAAACAGAATAGCTGCGTCCAGTCAAGACATTCTCATTGATAAGCAAGATCTATATTGTAATGAAATCTGGAGAAGTGCATCAAACCACTTTACCAAGTTGATCAAACATTAAAAGATTTGGAAAATATCTTTCGACGCCCAGTTGGTGGTTCATCTGCTTTGCAAATCCTGCAATCAACCGAAATCTGCCCGTCAGTCGCCATGTTGTTTATGATTAAGATGTTGATTCTGTTACGTGATTTTGATTGGACTATGCATAGACTCGTTTGGACAACCAAAAATAAATCAATAATTCCATCATAGTTCGGCAAGGGTGGAAACTGGACTTGCATGGTCAGTTAACTCCCTTGTCTCAAGAAGATGCCAAATGGACAGGAGTTTGTATCAAAACTGAAACATTGTTAGTTGTGGTACAGCAGTGTACCAGGACGGATGATTCTCCTGCAGGGTGGCGTCGGTGGAACATTGTTGTCTAGGTGTGATCCTACCTAGGTGGCAGGCTGTGACCTGCTGGTCTGTCCAATATGGTGCAAGACAACACAGTTACAACATATGATTGGCGGTTGTTTAGAGTAGATGATAGTCGTTGCAGCGCCATCTAATGGTGACGATCTGTGAACACACAAAAAGTAGAAATTCATATAATGGTTCCTGCAAATCAATATCTACAAGCTTTTTACACACTCTGATTTATCTAACAAATATTTCTTTCTCTGAAACGTTTACCTGCATCTCAAAGCCTGTAACTTTGATTTTGGACTAGCTATTCTATGTACCAAGATGAGTCCAACAACTTGGATGCGTGGCAATGTTGAGTTAGAGCTGGGGTATTTGAACTACAAGGTTCTTGAATGTACATAGATTTTGGCAGAGAATTTAGGCTTTCATTGACAAGAGTCACTCTCACCCCCTGATACTTCACAGGGACTGCTGATTTATTTTTGGTGCACTAATGTACTAAAAATAATGACGAGCCTCTCATGCTTGTCAAATTCTCAAACATTTGAATGACCCTTCCCACATGCTTGTACATTTATTTCATGACCCTCCCTAAAAAGACAAAATGCAAAAGAACTTTATATTTAAAATAAAATGTTCATTTTTGTCATGACCCTCCCATAATATGTGTCTCATTTTTTATCAACCTCCCCTAGGGACTGTCAAAATGAGGTGATCACCACCCCCCTCATTCCCTATGGTAAATGACCGGTTCCTTACACATAATAGATGACAAACAATCTGTGACAAAGACTGTATAATGAAATTTCAATCCAGGTCGAAGCTACACACTGTCCAAAGGATACTTGACAATAGTGTCATAGTAACATTGTTAGAGCTTGTCTTGATGCTTTAATACGGAACTAATGAGGAACAGTCGGTCAAAGTGATGGCTGTAGTGCTTCGGGCCAGGAGCAACAGAAAGGGAGAGCTTAGTGAATGAGTGAGTGAGTGAGTTGGGTTTAACGCTGCTTTTAACAGTAGTCAAATTATATCGCGGCGTGTCAGCTTAATGTGGGAGGAAAGCCCCAAGTGATGCAGGTCTCAGACGTTTACCACTTCGGTGAAACCCACGAGCATAGGTATGGTGCTGACACACCTAGAAACATAATCAGGGCGAACCGGGATTCGAACCCACAATCATAGGTTTCTGGCGTGCCCAAGGGACACAACTCTGCACAGCAAATCGCGGTGCCTTAGACGACTAGGCCATCCGTGCCCTGAGAGAGCTTAGACTTTGGATAGACACAAAAAAGGTGACACCTTATTATTTCATACTGATGATAATATTTATTATTAAAATATGATTAAAACATAAAAAAAACATACTTCAGTGGGAAACAATCACATGCATATAGTCAGTGACAATAACAGAAGACAGTGGTACAGAGAGGGCACTCTGGCATCAGTGACAGTAACAGAAGACAGTGGTACAGTGTGGACACTCAGGCATCAGTGACAGCAACAGAAGACAGTGGTACATAGAGCATACTCAGGCATCAGTGACAGCAACAGAAGACAGTGGTACAGAGAGGACACTCAGGCATCAGTGACAATAACAGAAGACTGGTACAGAGTGGACACTCAGGTATCAGTGACAGTAACAGAAGACAGTGGTACAGAGAGGACACTCTGGCATCAGTGACAGTAACAGAAGACGGTGGTACAAAGTGGACACTCAGGCATCAGTGACAGTAACAGAAGACAGTGGTACAAAGTGGACACTCTGGCATCAGTGACAGCAACAGAAGACAGTGGTACGGAGAGGACACTCAGGCATCAGTGACAGTAACAGAAGACAGTGGTACAAAGTGGACACTCTGGCATCAGTGACAGCAACGGAAGACAGTGGTACAGAGAGGGCACTCAGGCATCAGTGACAGTAACAGAAGACAGTGGTATGCAGTGGACACTCTGGCATCAGTGACAGCAACAGAAGACAGTGGTACAGAGAGGACACTCAGGCATCAGTGACAGTAACAGAAGACAGTGGTACAGAGAGGGCACTCAGCATCTGTGACAATAACAGAAGACAGTGGTATGCAGTGGACACTCTGGCATCAGTGACAGTAACAGAAGACAGTGGTACAGAGAGGACACTCAGCATCAGTGACAGTAACAGAAGACAGTGGTACAGAGAGGACACTCAGGCATCAGTGACAGTAACAGAAGACAGTGGTACAAAGTGGACACTCTGGCATCAGTGACAGCAACAGAAGACAGTGGTACGGAGAGGACACTCAGGCATCAGTGACAGTAACAGAAGACAGTGGTACAAAGTGGACACTCTGGCATCAGTGACAGCAACGGAAGACAGTGGTACAGAGAGGGCACTCAGGCATCAGTGACAGTAACAGAAGACAGTGGTATGCAGTGGACACTCTGGCATCAGTGACAGCAACAGAAGACAGTGGTACAGAGAGGACACTCAGGCATCAGTGACAGTAACAGAAGACAGTGGTACAGAGAGGGCACTCAGCATCTGTGACAATAACAGAAGACAGTGGTATGCAGTGGACACTCTGGCATCAGTGACAGTAACAGAAGACAGTGGTACAGAGAGGACACTCAGCATCAGTGACAGTAACAGAAGACAGTGGTACAGAGAGGACACTCAGGCATCAGTGACAGTAACAGAAGACAGTGGTACAGAGAGGACACTCTGGCATCAGTGACAGTAACAGAAGACGGTGGTACAAAGTGGACACTCTGGCATCAGTGACAGTAACAGAAGACAGTGGTACAGAGAGGGCACTCAGGCATCAGTGACAGTAACAGAAGACAGTGGTACAGAGAGGGCACTCTGGCATCAGTGACAGTAACAGAAGACAGTGGTATGCAGTGGACACTCTGGCATCAGTGACAGTAACAGAAGACAGTGGTACAGAGTGGACACACAGCATCTGTGACAGTAACAAAAGACAGTGGTATGCAGTGGACACTCAGGCATCAGTGACAGTAACAGAAGACAGTGGTACAGAGTGGACACTCGGGCATCAGTGACAGTAACAGAAGACAGTGGTACAGAGAGGGCACTCAGCATCTGTGACAGTAACAGAAGACAGTGGTACAGAGTGGACACTCTGGCATCAGTAACAGTAACAGAAGACGGTGGTACAGAGAGGACACTCAGGCATCAGTGACAGTAACAGAAGACAGTGGTACAGAGAGGACACTCAGGCATCAGTGACAGTAACAGAAGACAGTGGTATGCAGTGGACACTCTGGCATCAGTGACAGTAACAGAAGACAGTGGTACAGAGAGGGCACTCAGCATCTGTGACAGTAACAGAAGACAGTGGTACAGAGTGGACACTCTGGCATCAGTGACAGTAACAGAAGACAGTGGTACAGAGTGGACACTCAGGCATCAGTGACAGTAACAGAAGACAGTTGAGACTGATAGGGAGAGGATAGGCATGCAAGAAGCAACAAGGACCATCAGATAATGATAGAGAGAAGAAAGGTAATATTCGATGAGTTTGATAGGATTCAGCAGATGTGGACTTGAGTGTCAACAGGTAGTTGTCTGAGCAGTACAGATGATGTAAAGTGTGTGAAAGACTTGGACGGCATATCATCATTTAGTATTATGTAAAACACAGTTGCAAAATTACATAATTCATTTGAGTCATCATGGCTATACGAACAACAAAGTGCACAATAATACAACAAAATCATGGACTGATAGAGATGACACTCATGGGCCAGACATGATCTCACTTGCTACATCAGTTGTGAGATTATTCTGCCCCTCAATAAATATTAATGTTGACAGTACTGATCTCTCAGTTTTCACAAGAAATTGGTCAGGAATTATGTCCTCATGGCTGTCTTTAGTGCCGAATAATGGATCGTTCTGTGTTTTTAAGTCATGCATGGAACAATTTCCGAGTGTGATGTCACACTTTTAGTTCATGCACAATTCAATTCTCAAACCAAAACAACAGAGCTCCACACAGAAAAGCCGACAACCCAAGTGCTGCGCAGAATAGTCATGTTTTAGTTTAAGGCAAATTAAAGAGAAAGGGTTACAAAAGTCTAACTGCCAGCTTTATTGGATTAAAAGCCAGTGTTTATCAACGTCAATACTACAAAATAAATGCCTCGGTCAAATGAATCCATGGTATCACTCGTCTACCCAGAGTTCCTTGCGGCCAGCTCGCCTACTATCATCACAGTCAATGACAGTCCATTCAAGATATTGCATGTTTTTCATGTACACATCTAGATAAACATGTGTCATGAAGTGTTTAACTTTCATAGAGAAAATATCCTGAGGCGTGAAAAACTGTTTCCATTTGCATATTTATCCTTTGTTTACATTGGTTGTACAGCTCCACAAGCTGTCATTGAGGCCCTACGGAGAGCTAGCAATACCGTCACTCACCCTCTCAGTTGTAGTAGTATGTCAATACAATTATACAAAACAATATGTAAAGCATTGGGTCCGCCTGTTCTTACTTAAGAATAAGTGCATTTGTTTACAACATGTACAAAGAGAAAAGTCTGGGTCACGTGATAGGCCTACACCCGCATTGTGGTCACTGGAGCAGACACTCCTCTCGTGGAATAAGGAGAGCCGAGTAAGCTCGATAGGGTTATCGGCTTATGTTTACAAACAAAGCTTCAGAATGGTCAACCTATTGGCCCTTTAATGCTGTCTGTGAACCCTATTTGGCCAGCACTGCAACTGCTGATCTCTTCTGTTTAAAATTTAATCTGATACATATATTTCATCTTCCCGAGGCAAGAGGGTCCACTAGCCTTTTTATCGAAGTCTTGTTTCAACCCTTGCCACATCAAGCCTACTTTCCTGTGCTAAATATGACTGGACTATTGCACATATAAATAGTGCAATCAGGGAACCTTTCATAAAATCAACATCCACGACTGGTACACCTTGTTACGTGGTCATCTTTGTGAAGGTATACAAGATAAGGACAGCGGTCTGATTGGATATCGCGTTTTAATGACAAGGGGCACAACTCTTGATGGCTGGGGTCGAGCCAAGAAAAGTGGCCTTGATGTGGCAAGGGTAGAAACTAGGCTTTAATATAGACTAGTGGACACGCCTGCCTCAAGAAGATGCATATATAATGGCATGTTCTTTTACCCAATCCATGAAATGTATATATCATTCAAATTGCATCAATCAAATTGCCACGTTTGAAATTAGATCAGACGACAGTGACGTGTAAGAGAGTTGAGTTGCCTCAGAACCTTGGTAATTATGAATGGAAATGGAAATCACAAAAATATCATACATAGTTTTCTTCAAGTAGATCTATAAGTAGCTGACATCAGTGTTAACTGTAAATAAACTTAGTAGGGTGGCAAAAAACATGACGGTCAGTCCGATGAACAAAACTTCAACAAACATTTTTAGAAGTTGTTTACAATGGTGGGACGTAGGTGCAGACTTTCAAACAATTGTGAACAAATTCAACAATATGTGATATCAAACAACATCATGATGTTACAAACTGGTTAAGTCATAAACATCATCACACCACAAAAATAAGGACATAAAACAAATTATTATGAAATGAATATATTAAGATCACACGGCAATAATCACAGAAATGCAAATATAAAACATATTAGCATGACTAACATGTAGTCCCAGAATAAAGTCCTCTTATCTACAATATATATGTATATCTACAAAATAAAAAATAATATCCAAATGAAGCCCAGAATAACGCTCAATTTCAGGCAATGTTGAGTTGGATTCATTTTGTTCATTGTCTAGGGTCTGGGAGACTATGACACTTGTAACCAGAGCAATGGCCTCCACTACAGGATTCAACAGCAGAAGGACCTTTGCAATCAATACCATGTATACAAACATTTATAGTGTCCAGGATGTCTAGTGGTTGGATGTCAAACAGATCTTCTCCTAACTGATGCTATCTACACATAATACGCAATATGTTGGTTAACTTCATGTAAATGGTGAATTGCTTTGTCCCATATTGTGATGTGACTTCAAGTGCATGATGTCAGCAAACGGTGCACACAACCTCGGTCCACTCACGGACCTACTTCACTCCAATCTCACCTTCAACTCCAGCATCAGAGGGTTACATCACTACATGCTGATCTAACCTGAATCAAGCAGAGAATGTCAAGACATGATTGCGTGGGGTTTAAGGCCACTTCAGCGTTAGAAATTGGCACTAGTCCTGTAATCCTTGCCAAACTGTCCAACAGTTAATGTATCATAAGGACTAGTAGAAATTTGCCATTTTTAAGGGTTTTACTATATGTTATCATTATAAGGAGTAGTGGGCTAAAAATGTTAGTTACTACTGCTGCGCTTTGACCATTGTTTCTGTTGCTGTTAGAAGCCTGGAGAGATGCAGGTCTCAGACATTAACCACTTTGGTGAAACCCACAAGCACAGGTATGGAACTGAGAAACCGAGAAACATAATCAGAGCAAATGGGCATTCGAACCCACGATCACAGATTTTTGGCACGCTAAGGGAGGCAACTCGGCGCTCTGTAGCACCTAGATGACTGGACCACATGTGCCCCCATGACGCAGGAAGAGACGGGATGAGAAAGTACTTGACAAAGATGGCAGATCACATGGTAAAATTACATTACAATGCAGTCCTTATAAATGAACACAGTAAAAGAAGGTGTGGTACAAGGTGAGGATGTGAGTCAGTGTGCAGCAATAGGGGATGTGAGTCGGTGTAGTGCAACAAAGGGATGTGAATCAGTTCTACAAAATGGGGATGTGTGTCTGTGTACAAGGTGGGGATGTGAGTCAGTGTTGTACAAGGTGGGGATGTGGGTCACTCAGTGTTGTACAAGGTGGGGATGTGGGTCAGTGCAGTACAAGGTAGGAATGTGAATCAGTGTTGTACAAGGTGGGGATGTGAGTCAGTGTTGTACAAGGTGGGGATGTGGGTCACTCAGTGTTGTACAAGGTGGGGATGTGGGTCAGTGCTGTACAAGGTAGGAATGTGAATCAGTGTTGTTGTACAAGGTGGGGATGTGAGTCAGTGTTGTACAAGGTGGGGATGTGGGTCACTCAGTGTTGTACAAGGTGGGGATGTGGGTCAGTGCTGTACAAGGTAGGAATGTGAATCAGTGTTGTACAAGGTGGGGATGTGGGTCAGTGTTGTACAAGGTGGAATGTGAGTCAGTGTTGTACAAGGTGGGATGTGAGTCAGTGTTGTACAAGGTGGGATGTGAGTCAGTGTTGTACAAGGTGGGATGTGAGTCAGTGTTGTACAAGGTGGGATGTGAGTCAGTGTTGTACAAGGTGGGATGTGAGTCAGTGTTGTACAAGGTGGGATGTGAGTCAGTGTTGTACAAGGTGGGATGTGAGTCAGTGTTGTACAAGGTGGGATGTGAGTCAGTGTTGTACAAGGTGGGATGTGAGTCAGTGTTGTTGTACAAGGTGGGATGTGAGTCATTGCACTACAAGGTGTAAATGTGAGTCAGCGTTGCAAGGGCAGATCCAGCGTTACCCTGGACGCCACTCTGGATCCGCCTATGGTGGTGTACAAGGTGGGGAGTACACGTGAAAAACCTCCACCATAAGTACATCCCGAGAAGGGCACCAGGGGTGTGCACCTCAAACTTGAAGCACACAAAACATGTAAACATATCAAAACAAGGTATATGGTGTTTTCAAATCGTTTCACAAATTGATTGTATTCATCTATTTATCCAGCATGTTGTATGTCAAGTGAAAATATTCTTTCTAAAAGTCTTATCAATGCTTGTCTACACATAACACACATACACAACCCAGACATGCGCAGATCAGTAGAACCTCATTAAAGTCAACTTCTTTCCTTTACAGCCTAACCTCAATAACTAGTGACTAAAAAGACCTACTGTTTCTTCAGTGCTGAAACACTTTTATTGTTAAGGGCTGAAACTCTTTTATTGAAAAGAAGACGGTTTAAACCACTAATGAGGTTCTTCTGTACACTAGTGTACCTGATTATAAGGTTGGATTGTCCATACAGGTCCATCTTCCTGAGGCAAGGGAGGTAACTGACGAAAAGTCCAATTTCCATCCTTGCCGAACGAGGTTTGAATTTCTGGACTCAATCGTAGTGCCACCAGTGGCTATTATGAGGTATGACCTTTCTATGTTCCTCCTATTGACCAATCTGATTCCACCTCTCCTATCACTTGCATTTGATTAAAACAAAATGGCAGCGCCAAGTGAATGCAATCTATAATCAAGATCTATATTGTAATAAAACAGGTCTTACTTCGCGAAGTGCATCAAATCACGGGAGCACCTTGGTTAAAAACATTCGGTAAATATCTGTTGACGATAAGTTGACGGTACACATGCTTTGCAAATCCTGCCATCGATCGAAATCTGCATGGCAGTTTGCCAACCGGATGTCAATTTCGTAACACGATTTGGATTGGACTATGCATAGACTTGTTAGTCCAGCCAAAATATAACTCTGTAATTCTGAAACGTAGCTCTTAATTGTAATGAAGAAGTTATTCATCCATAAATTCTTATCCTTACTCTGTAATTCCAGACCTTTATAGTCAGTTAACTCCCTTGCCTCCTAAAGACGATACAGGTCAAGCATACATTGTGTGTTACAGAGAGGACCACACAGTTGGTGTCTGGCATATATACCACAACATTGATAGCCACAGGTCCTTGATTCAGCCACCTGTAGAGAGTATACAACAGTGCAGCACCATGCAGGAGGTCTCTGAGGGTCACACTCTGGATGAGGCAGGGTGGGAAGGATGAACATTCATGCAGTGTGCAGCCACCAGTGTCTGAAGTGCAAGTTTCAGCATGCTCACAACATCAAAACTTCTTACCAATCACTTCAGATTTGAGTCTATCAGCTATAGCTTTTCTCATAGCAAGTCTTTTCTCCATCTCAGGGTCTCGTTTCTCAGGTTCAGCCATTTTGCCGGACATTGAAGCGCGAGCTGCCCGTGCCGACTGTGGCCGCTGTGGCTGAGCGGACTCCACCCGCCTAAGCTGCTTCTCCCTCTCCTCCTTCTTCATCTTCACCAGCTTGTCCCTCTGCTCCTTTAGGAACTTCAGACGCTGTTGTCGCTCATCCATTGACATTGCTTCCATTGATTTCTGCAGGGAGAAAAGGCAATACTGTGCACATAATGATCAATACAACACTAATTGGATATTAAGCAAAATGAACTTCCAAGTACAATTGTGATACACATGAAACCAAACTTCTTCCCGTTCCTTGTTGTTATGTATGAAGCCAATTTCTGGTGTCCCCCATCCATGACATTGTTGGAATATTACTACAAGCAGTGTAAAACCATACTCACTCACTGACCTTGCTGTTCTTGAGATAATGAATCTCAAAGATTTTCCCCAATTTGTCCAACCGATGAAGATCCGGATTAGACTAGGTCTTCAGCAACCCATGTAAGGAGGCGACTAACGGGATCAGGTGGTCAGACTCACTGACTTGGTTGATGCATGTCATCGTATCCCAATTGCGTGGATCGATGCTCATGATGTCAATCACCATATTGTCTGATCCAGACTTGATTATTTACAGACTGCCATCATATAGCTGGAATATTGCTGAGTGCGGCGTCAAACAACAAACAAACCAAACCAAACCCCAATTTGTTCAATTGGTTTGTTTTCTCTTTCTTGTAAAGCAAAAATGCCAATTACAAAACTGTGTTCCACAATGGCGAAAGGCATCCCTTTAGTCAGTCGGGATAAGGAGTTGTGAGTTAACATACTGATGACGGACAGTGCCCTCTGTACACTACTGAGCTATAAACAAAGAACCAACACCTTGCTTTGTCCAACTGAAGTAGACAGACAATGTCCCAACTCTTTCTTCCACCTACCTGCATGGCCTGGAACCTCTCGGACTGCTGCACGCTTGTGCTGGACTCGTCCTGGGCAGACTTCATCCAGTTGGCTGCAGCATCAGCGTTGCTCACCCCACCTGCCTTTGGCACATCGCCTTGCTTTGGCCGCACAGAAGATGTAATGGGGGCAAGACCAGTGGCAGAAGTTGGGGATTTCTGGGTAGCAGCAGTGGCTTGTGATGGACGGGAGGCAGCAGGCACGGCAGCAGGCACGGCAGCAGGCACGGCAGCTATTTTGGGCTGAAATACAAAGCAAACAGATCGATAGCCATAAAGTGTGAATACAATATAACTATACCTGAACATATGACAAGAGTCTTAAATTGGTTGGTTTGTTGTTTAACACTGCAATCAACAATAGTCCAGGTCTGTAAATAATCAAATCTGGGGCGAATCCAGTGATTGATATCCTGAGCATAGATCTACGCAATTGGGATACAATGACATAAATCAACCAAGTCAGCCAGCCTGACCACCTGATCCCGTTAGTCACCTCTTACGACAGGCATCAGTTGCTGAAGACCTACTCTATCCCGGAATCTTCACAGGGACATGATGCTTTTAGCAAGTCCACCTTGCTGTGCTGGGTCGGGTTCAGATTTGCCCAGCCCTCACATAATGTAATCACATGAGTAACCTCACATAGTCTTGCCAAAAAAAGTCTTCAATAAATGAAGCAGGAATAACAATATGTCAGTCATCCATCAGATTCTCAATAAGCCTATGGCTAATAGTAGCCGGCCACTGGCTCACAAACAAGTAGACGACATGTTTCACTCTGAATTGGCTGTACTACAAACACACAGAATGTTGTACCAAGCAGTCTGTGACTTTAGTCACTAGTAGGCAGCCAGTGTCTAGTAAACTTCTGTCCAGTCTTGTAAACTTAGTAAAATCTAATATTTTGTTTACATTTGTATACTTATCCTGCATTACTCCTTATTTACTGCTTACCTTACGACAAAAGACGGGACAACGTAACAGAGATGGTCCTGGGTGAAGAAATAAAACTGTTGTTTGTAGTCCCACTTTTGGTGACCACTGCTGCTGTTATGTGACCTTGATGACCTGAGGTCACATCACTGCTTTTAGAAAAAAAATTCTTTCTTAAGGTTTCTGAAGCTAAAGTGGGGAGGCAAGTCTGTGATGGGTGGTCCTTAGACGTAGTAATGCAGGATATGTATACAAATGCATAAAAAATTTAGATATTACTAAATTTTTTACTTATCCTGCATTACTCCTTAATGCATCTGTATGGAGGTCATGAATGTAGGAGAAACACTGATTTCTTGGTGAGGTCATAAAATGAGGATGCATAGGGGGGATTGAAGGGGGCCCTCGCAAACCTCGAAGTACCACATTCAAGCCCCTAGCAGGTGGGCGGAACTTGGCCTTTTGATCCTCAAGCCTGAATGATCGAGTTGGGCCTGTAGTTCCGTGACCTAAGTCATCTTGCGATTTTCCGGAAGGCCAACACTGAGTTAAGTACAATCCAGTAAGTAGTAATGGTGCTACCTTCCAAGTGTCTTTGGGTACGCAAATTCAGCCTAGGAATTGTGGTGACACAGTTGTAGGGTCTTGACTTTTTGCCTTGCAAAAAGTTTCAAATGATCCCCACTTGTCATCGTAGACCTCTGGTAGAGGAATGATGAGCTGACGTGACAGCTTTTGTTGCCCGTGCAGAATAGCTCTTTGCACTTAACGCCACCTGTCTGGTGTTGGAGAAGGCAATTTGCTGTGAGGGTGGATAAGTAGGTTAAACCACTGTGGGAAGGGTAGTGGATCATCCTCTGCTAGATTTCTGAGCTTGACGAACCACCCTCTCAATGGCTACCAGGGCTTGACCAAAGTCAGAGCAAGGCTCCTTGTCTCCTTGATCTTTTGTATTACCTTGGGAAGTAAGACTGGTGGCGGAAAGGCATACGCTTTTAGTCCTTCCCAAGGAATGCTGAACATATGGCAAGTTGCAAACAGGTCGATGTTTGGTTGCCTGAACTTCTGAAACAGTAACTGGAATGCTTCTGTGTGAAGTTTCCACTTGGTGGGGGCCACCCTGTCTGGACGCAATAAGGCATCGGCCAGAATGTTTCAACAACCGGGGATGTGCTGAACTATGAATTGTAGTTCCAGATGATCCACTAGATGGAAAATTCTGAATGTCTGTTGAAGCAGGGAGTTGGAGTGCATTGTTCCCTGATTGCGCAGGCACCAAACAACAGTGCTGTGGATATTGCGAGTTGGGCTGACTGTAGCTGATACTGCTAATGTGATATTGCCAGAATTAAAGCTTCCAACTCCAAGTTGACTATGTGCCACTTTCGATGAGCGCCGGACTATAGCCCTGAGGCTGTCTGGCCTTGCAGGTGAGCACTCCATCCCTGAAGGGAGGCATCTACGAACAGGTGTAGATTCGGGGATAACCTGGATAAAGAGACTACCATCCACCAATTGAGGTAAGGCCTTAGATGGAGCAGTAGAGTGATGGCCTTGAGTGGATCCTGACACCTGATGTAAGGATTCAGGAATTGTGGAATTTGGCGTAATTGTAATCTGACTCCGCTGGTCAGGTCCTGGGCTGAGGTGAGTAACCCTAACAACACTTGCCATTGGTGAAGTGTGAGCGGTTGATGAAGAGCAGGTGACAGGAGGTGTAAAATCTTGTGCCATCTGTCCCTCGGAACTCATAGGAGATCATGGTCTGTTTGGAACAGGCCTCCTATGAACTGGAGATGATAGGATGGAGTTGATGGGCCACTGAAACGCCAAATGCCAAAAACCCCATTGAACTTGAATCTGAGTAACCTACGGTCGGAGAGATGGATCGTATATGCAGGTAGGCATCCCGCAGGTCGAGACTGATCAAGGAAACGAACGCCTTTAGGTCATCAAGGTCACAGGACAGCGGCAGTGGTAACCAAAAGTGGGACTACGAACAACAGTTTTATTTCTTCACCCCGGACCATCGCCATTACGCTGTCTTTTGTTGTAAGGTAAGCAGTGAATGCATTAATGAGAAATGCAGGATAAGTAAAAACTTCAGATAATAATAGTCCATATAATAACACTAAATTCTTCTGAAATCATGCTAAGAGCCATATTTAGGCTGATTGTCTCAAAAGTGTTTGGCACAGACTGCTCTGTAGTTTTGGTGGTCCTTATATATATATCTGGTCATTTGTCCAACATTAAGCGTTGCTACAGTACATGAGGACCTACCGCAGATCTGAGGTCAGTAGCCATCTTGGTGGGACTGGCTGGCTGGGTTGTTGCATCATGGGAGCCAGCAGAAACAGGGGGGACAACTGCAACATTTCCAAAACCACCACTGGATCCACTCTTGAGAGCCTACAACACAGAAATGTTATCACATATGAAATTTTTTGCTTGTTTGTTTGTTTGTTGGCGGTCAGTAAATAATCGAGTATGGACCAGACAATCCAGTGACTGACATCATCACCCCAGTCTTGCCATGTCAATAATACACCCTCACCCCTGACTCACCATGTCAATAACACACCCTCACTCCAGATTCACCATGTCAGAAATACACCCTCACCCAAGACTCACCATGTCAGAAATACAACCTCACTCCAGACTCACCATGTCAATAAAACACCCTCACTCCAGATTTACCATGTCAGAAATACACCCTCACCCCTCTCACGTCAGAAATACACACTCACCCCACTCATCATGTCAATAATACACCCTCACTCCAGATTCACCATGTCAGAAATACACCCTCACCCCAATCACGTCAGAAATACACCCTTACCCCAGACTCACCATGTCAATAATACACCCTCACTCCAGATTCACCATGTCAGAAATTCACCCTCACCCCAGACTCACCATGTCAATAATACACCCTCACCCCAGACTCACCATGTCAATAATACACCCTCAGCCCACTCACCATGTCAATAATACACCCTCACCCCAGACTCACCATGTCAATAATACACCCTCACCCCAGACTCACCATGTCAATAATACACCCTCACCCCACTCACCATGTCAATAATACACCCTCACCCCAGACTCACCATGTCAATAATACACCCTCACCCCAGACTCACCATGTCCATAATACACCCTCACCCCAGACTCACCATGTCCATAATACACCCTCACCCCAGACTCACCATGTCAATCTTCTTCTCTTCTACCTGTCTACTGTCACTGAGGCGCTTGGCTTCACACATTGAAATCTCCAGTACAGCCTTCATCTCCTGCTCCTCCTTGCTGCTCCTACGTTTTTGACTCTCAAACTCCTGGCGTGATTTCCTGACATTAACAGAAAAAATTCACCCAACTAATGTAAGAAAGAAGATGATATGACAATAACTTCCTTGCTACAAGAAGAATTAAATAAGACAGTGATGTTACAGCTCCAGCTGCATCCTGAAATCCAGAGATGTCCAGAGATGTCCAGTCACATGAAACTGATGCAGCATCAGATTCCAGGGCTCGATTAAGGGACCTTGATTTAAAGTCTACCAGGAGCATGTTAACATGAAAACCTAGTTGCACCAGAAAAAAACAGGTTGCATCCTCAAAACTCAAAACATAAACATGACAGATGCATACACTGGTCCAAACGTATAAAATCTCAGACTTCAGATGACTGGGTCATGATTTTATATCCATTTGTGCAGCAAACAACAACAAACAATGGAATATAATATCATAATTTATTTACATTGGACATGTTGGAGACAAAGGGGGGCTACCTCGGTTGCTGGTGCTAGTGGGTGGTTAACCCGAGTGATAGGAATAGAGAAAGAGTACCCCGAGGATCGTGGATCCTGGGTTAATAGCTTGTTAGTGGGTCGTCAACCCGAGTATTGTTGTGAATTAATCTGGGATCTAGGATCCCAGTATTAGTAGAGATGTACCCTTGGAGGTCGTGAAGCCCCGGGTGTTGGGTTAGGGAGAGGTATATGGTATGAGTTGGGGGCTACAGACCCCCAAAGAGAGGTTGTGTAGCAACCGAGTGCCACCAAGGAACTCAAAACTCAAAACATAAACATGACAGATGCATACACTGGTCCAAACATATAAAATCTCAGACTTCAGATGACTGGGTTGTCATTTTATATCCATTAATAATGACTTATGTATTGTTGTAAACAATAATAGGAAATTGGGCACATAATCTTGCAGTAGCCACATTTTGATGACGTCAAGTCCAAGAAATAACACAGGGATTTGTAATGTAGTGCAGTAAATAAAGCTTAAGAGGTATCGAGTGTGTTCACAAATCATTTTTGTGAGGGAAAGTATGGGTTAGTCTGACATAAAATGTTTTTTACAAGCACTTGGTTCATGTAGACAAAAAGATTAGGTTTCACTTTTCAATTTATAGGTTGTACTGGTGCATGTTTCATATAGTTAAATCAAGCCCTGATGATTCATTCCATCGGGTAACAAAGCAGTGTTCGAAATTAAGGGGGCTCCTGGGGGCATTGAGGTTTTCTATGTTTTCTTAATCTTGGGACCCCCTATATCTGTTACTATTAACAGTAATGACAAAGGCACCTTGACTTTTATGCTTAATTTCAAACACTGTAAAGGCACTGCAAGACAGCCTGCACCAGGAGAATGGGAATATCATCATGGAGTGAGTTGGGTTTAACGCTGCTTTTTAACAGTATTCCAGTTATATCACGGCGTGTCAGCTTAATGTGGAAGGAAAGCCCCATGCGATGCAGGTCTCAGATGTTTACCACTTCGGTGAAACCCACGAGCACGGGGATGGTGCTGACAAACCTACAAACATAATCAGAGCCAACAGGGATTTGCACCCACAATCATAGGTTTTTGGCGTGCCCAAGGGACGCAACTCTGCACAGCAAATCGTGGCGCCTTAGACAACTGGGGCTTCCGTCCCCCTATCGCATCATGCATGGAACCCTCCTATGGCGTTAGTATCTGTGACCGATATTTACCAAGATCAACATTTGTACTGAATTTAGTTAGCTGTTGATGGACCACTGGTAGTGTTGTAATACACTTCGTTGAGATACAATACATGTCAACACAATACAATACACATCTTCATTGGGAGATTGTACTACAAACATATCTCGATCGTGAAGTCTGACACAATACATATCGCGATAGTGAGATCGTAATACAATACACATCTCAATCGTGAAGTCTGACACAATACATATCTCGATAGTGAGATCATATTACAATACATATCTCGATCATGAAGTCTGACACAATACATATCTCGATAGTGAGATTGTAATACAATACATATCTCGATCGTGAAGTCTGACACAATACATATCTTTATAGTGAGATTGTAATACAATACATATCTCGATCGTGAAGTCTGACACAATACATATCTCGATAGTATGATTGTAATACGATACATATCTCGATCGTGAAGTCTGACACAATACATATCTCGATCGTGAAGTCTGACACAATACATATCTTTATAGTGAGATTGTAATACAATACATGTCTTGATCATGAAGTCTCACACAATACATATCGCGATAGTGAGATCGTAATACAATAAATATCTCGATCGTCAGGTCTGACACAATACATATCTCGATAGTGAGATCGTAATACAACATGTACAATACATATCTCGATCGTGAAGTCTGACACAATACATATCGCTATAGTGAGATTGTTATACAATACATATCTCGATCGTGAAGTCTGACACAATACATATCGCGATAGTGAGATCGTAATACAATACATATCTCGATCATGAAGTCTGACACAATACATATCTCGATAGTGAGATTGTAATACAATACATATCTCGATCGTGAAGTCTGACACAATACATATCTCAATAGTGAGATCATAATAGAATACATATCTTGAAAGTGAGGTCGTGATAGAATTGATGATACAACACACAATAAGAAGCATGAAAATTGGACACTTGGTTATTGCTGACTTTGGTGCTACACAACCAACCAAACATGCTTCCACTACCCTCACCAGAATGAAATACTTACTCCATGGCAGCTGCAAGCACTGCGTCTTCCTCCTTCTGTCTGGTGTTCACCTTCTGTGCTTCCGCCGCTCTGCCTTGAGTCAGGCTGCTGGGCAGGGCTCCGAGGTTCTTCATGATCATTTTCAGAGCTTCCTCCTGGAGGACGATATTCTTATGGGCCATCACTCTTACAAACAGTCCAAAGTCGACCGACGACATCACCTGCTCCAGCACAGTCTACAACAACATCCACAATGCATGTAGGGCATGAAGGGTGTTTATTCTGGCTCAGCACAGTTATTCACAATTTGCCTAACTGGTAATACACACTTAAAGCATCAATCTTTGATAGAAACTGGAAGAGGAATAGGGTGTGAATGATATGTGGTTAAAGACAACTCCAAAAAGTGTATTTAGTAATATCACACTGTGTCAGCAGTCTGCGTGTGTGTGTGTGTGTGTGTGTGTGTGTGTGAGTGAGTGAGTGAGTGAGTGAGTGAGTGAGTGAGTGAGTGAGTGAGTGAGTGAGTGAGGTTTTACACCGCTTTTAGCAATATTCCAGCAATATCACTGATATCACCAGAAATGGGCTTCATACATTGTACCCATGTTGGGAATCAAACCCGGGTCTTCGGCGTGACATAAGCACCAAAGTTACAAAGTAATTAAGGTTGTCAATATATACTGCTTTGATGGAAACCTCAATCTCTTTAAAATTAGATCTTAGTTTTCGCTGCCACTAAACAAAGGTCTGAGGACGTCCCATTACATGTCATGTCAGACCGACCTTTCTTGAACTTTGACTGACCAATGGAATGACTGACGAGAAGTCGACATTAGCCAATCAGAAGGCAGCTGTCTCATGCTTTACAAATTACAGCACTAGTTTCAAACTGGCGACTACGAAACACATTTTGACAAATTCTCTGTCATTAATTTGAAAACCGAACAAAAGAACATTCTGGAATGGCTAATAGATGGCCTAGATTGTTAACTGTTGTTCGGAATACCCTGTGTTAATTTTCTTGAGGTTGCATGATTAAAAAACACATTCCGACTGCCACATTCCTGATTTGGTAAGTGACGCTCTGATTGGTCGAGTGAAGGTCGTTCTGACGTGACCCGTAATGGGATGTCCTCAGATCTTTGTTTAGCTGTAGCAAGAATAAGAACTTATTGTAATGAGATTGGTGAAACCTAGGTGGTGACAGTTTAGCCACAGCTGAAAAATGAGCTCTGGAATATGTTCGATCAGAAAGGTCATAAAAGCACAAAGAAAGATAAACAGAAGACAACAGAAGCTGCTACTAAACAGAGTTCCTCACATCATGTTCATTAAATTGCTCATGATTTACCTACAAGCAGAGCACTAAATCATCAAGACAACAACGGCACTGTCGGCAGCCACAGGGATACAAGGTCAAATGTTGCAGTTGTTGCAAATATGACAATACACAGCAAAATGTAACACATCATATCATATTATCACTGTATACCAAATTTGATAATGACACATGCTCATGGGGCTATGTTTAAATTAGATCAGAATCCTGTGAGCATGGCGAGTGTTTCTTTTTTAACTGGGATCATTCTTGCAAAGATTCAGTTTTTTAGTCCTTGCAGTTTATATGATGGCAGTACTTCCCACAAGCTATGGATTTCTTTTCCATTTCAAACTTATCAAAGGTTTATATCATTTGAAGCAGGCGATAGACAATGAGTTTGATGGAATCAGTCGTATAGGCCGAACTGTTGTTCGGAATACACCACGTTAACATTATGGAGGTTGCAAGATTCGCTCCCTGATCTCATAACCGACACTCTGTCGGTCGGATGTCAGGTCATTCTGACATGACCTGTAACAGGACAGGTCACAGGATGTCCTCAGATCTTTGTGTAGATCTGATAGGTAGTCACTGACCTGGAACACGGTCCTGATGTCCTCCTTGTCATTCATCTCCTGCACTGCCCCCATGATGGCCTTGTAGTCCAGCCCTGTGTCCTGCTCGAAGGACAGCAGCATCCGGTCCACCTAGCAGACGTAACCATGGAAACAATAAACTGCCTGCCCATTTTATTATTTTAATATCCTATATGATATGTATGATACATACCAAAGCAATACAATATCATACATAATGATATCTAGAGGTGACAACATTACTTTCATGATGAACTAAAATTAATATTTCAGGTGAAAGAATGTCTTCACAGTTTGAGACAGATTTTCTGACATATATATCATAAGTAAACATGAAAACACTCATTACTATATTTTATTTTTATAACACCCACCACCTATTATCCAAATTCACCGAAACAGGAAACTACCAAATACTGCTATGGAAATTACATCAGGGATGTTGAGTTGAGTTTAAATGGGGCTTAGTTCAAGTCCAAGATGATTGCACTCACATAGTGACGTGCACGGTGTGTGTGTGTGTGTGGCTGCTTGTACTAGTCCAGACTAAGGCTGAACTTTTAGCACTAGCCCACTGAGATACCATACTGCAGCTTAACATGAATACCCCACTCAGGCACAGTATACTGACTGAGCCGACCAGTCCTTGTTTTAGCCACTTAATGCCAAGCCCCAGACAGGGTAACAACAAGTACCATCTTTTAACGTCTTCTGTTATGACGCGACTGGGAATCGAGCCCAGCACCTTCCACTCTCCGGGCAGAGGCTCTACCACTAGCCCACGGAGACAGTGACATATACAACAAGATGATGAATTCAACTCTACATCTCATCTCAAAATAATGCTCTGTCAACTGAACCCACCCTCATATGAACTTAAGGCCAATTTGTTGCTATGACAACACAAAGGCATAATTAAAAACTGACAAACAGCAAAAGGTACCAGGTCGGTGGCCGATGTATATACAAGGTTTCATGAGTGAGCGAGTTGGGTTTAACGCCGCTTATAACAGTATTCCAGTTATATCAGCTTAATGTGGGAGGAAAGCCTGGGAGGAAAGCCCGAATTGATGCAGGTCTCAGACGTTTACCACTTCGGTGAAACCAACGATCACGGGTATGGTACTGACAAACCTAGAAATAATCGGGGCGAACCGGGATTTGAACCCACAATCATGGGTTTCTGGTGTGCAAGGTTTCATGCAGACATATTGAATGTTGATGAACTGTGCACCCAAAACAAGACAAAAACGTGATGGACGGAACCCGTTCTCATATCCCCTGCAAAGCCTTGTTTGGTCGTGGAATAAGAAATGAGGTTTATTTGATATGAAGTTGCATATGTTGCTCTATTAGTCCATAATTTTCAACTCAATCATACTGACGTGAGACTGTTACAAAAATTAACTGACATCAGGCCCGATGATCACCTGCATCAGAAAACCATTGTTAACATGGCAATCTCATCGTTATAATGACAATCTCATTGTTAACATGGCAATCTCATCGTTATAATGACAATCTCATTGTTAACATAGCAATCTCATCGTTATAATGACAATCTCATTGTTAACATGGCAATCTCATCGTTATAATGACAATCTCATTGTTAACAAAGCAATCTTATCGTTATAATGACAATCTCATTGTTAACATGACAATCTCATCGTTATAATGACAATCTCATTGTTAACATGACAATCTCATCGTTATAATGACAATCTCATTGTTAACATGGCAATCTCATCGTTATAATGACAATCTCATTGTTAACATGGCAATCTCATCGTTATAATGACAACCTCATTGTTAACATGACAACCTCATCGTTGTAATGACAATCTCATTGTTAACATGGCAATCTCATCGTTATAATGACAACCTCATTGTTAACATGGCAATCTCATCGTTATAATGACAATCTCATTGTTAACATGGCAATCTCATCGTTATAATGACAACCTCATTGTTAACATGACAGTCTCATCGTTATAATGACAATCTCATTGTTAACATGGCAATCTCATCGTTATAATGACAACCTCATTGTTAACATGACAATCTCATCATTATAATGACAACCTCATTGTTAACATGACAATCTCATCGTTATAATGACAATCTCATTGTTAACATGGCAATCTCATCGTTATAATGACAACCTCATTGTTAACATGACAACCTCATCGTTGTAATGAGAATCTCATTGTTAACATGGTAATCTCATCATTATAATGACAATCTCATTGTTAACATGACAGTCTCATCGTTATAATGACAATCTTATTGTTAACATGGCAATCTCATCGTTATAATGACAACCTCATTGTTAACATGACAACCTCATCGTTGTAATGACAATCTCATTGTTAACATGGTAATCTCATCATTATAATGACAATCTCATTGTTAACATGACAGTCTCATCGTTATAATGACAATCTCATTGTTAACATGGCAATTTCATCGTTATATTGACAATCTCATTGTTAACATGACAATCTCATTATAATGACAATATCATTGTTAACATGACAATCTCATCGTTATAATGACAATCTCATTGTTAACATGGCAATCTCATCGTTATAATGACAATCTCATTGTTAACATGACAATCTCATCGTTATAATGACAATATCATTGTTAACATTGCAATCTCATCATTATAATGACAATCTCATTGTTAACACGACAATCCCATCATTATAATGACAATCTCATTGTTAACATGGCAATCTCATCGTTATAATGACAATCTCATTGTTAACATGACAATCTCATCATTATAATGACAATCTCATTGTTAACATGGCAATCTCATCATTATAATGAAAATCTCATTGTTAACATGACAATCTCATCATTATAATGACAATCTCATTGTTAACATGACGATCTCATCGTTATAATGACAATCTCATTGTTAACATGACAATCTCATCATTATAATGACAATCTCATTGTTAACATGACAATCTCATCATTATAATGACAATCTCATTGTTAACATGGCAATCTCATCATTATAATGACAATCTCATCATTATAATGACAATCTAATTGTTAACATGACGATCTCATCATTAACATGACACACTGGGATAAAGATGATCAGCAATTACCAAGCGCTTGTAGTCTTCATGGCTCTTGCGATATTCTGCCGAATCCTCTATTTCTGGATCAAATACTGCAAAATAGGGAAAAGTAGGAACTATATATGCTCTTGCAGCAATCGGAAATAAGCATGAAAACTAAGAGGTCCTTGTCATAGCCCTAACGTTAAACATTAAACATTAACATGTTAAGGTCATCAGATTCAAATATCATAGGAACAGACCTCAAGGACTCAATTTAATTTCAAACACTGATCTTGCAAATTACAAATATGACACAACAATGGCTACAATCTTACTGGACCAGCATATTCATTTTCTCAAGTATGAGCAAAAATATGTTGCTCTCATATGTTACACTTTGTCATTAAGGATTAAGTAAAAGTAAAGGAGTATTTTCTTCAATGACTTATGAGTAAAAGGCAAAACATTATGTGGAACCTTCTCGTTTGCTCAAACCACAGGTCCTCACAGTCACAGCAGAAGTCCTAATAATGTAATGACCGCAAAAGAGCTTAATGTACAAAGTCCATCTAACAAGGTCTCCAGCTTTGAGACATATATTTTTTATGATAATTACATAACATTATTACTTACTACACTGTAAATACTGCCACAGTGCAGTTTGGGAAATTAAGCATGAAAGTCGATGGGTCATTGTCACATACTTAAGGTGGGGGGGGGCGAAATGGGGTTTAACGTCGCATCCAAGACATACAGTAAACTACAGTGATTACAAACTCAACATGCTCAAAGGGCCCACTACTTTTAGTTTGTCATAAGCAAATGCCCAGGGCCAAGAAACAATTTTTTATATCCATCAAGTTTACTGTATATAGCGACATACATGCACATATGTGTGTGTGTGTGTGTGTGACTAAAGGGTAGGGCAGGGATGGGTAACTCGGGTACCCGGGTCAGGTGTGTACTGAGTAGGACCCGGGTACCTGCAGAACTACCGGGGCCTGTGGTTATTCACGTGATATATTGTTTAATGACAAAAATTATCTGGAACTCTATGGTTACACTACAAAGTACAAGTCACTAATGTTCACATTTCTATGCACCCATTCCTTCTGACTTGTCATATGGTTGAATGAAGATATAACTTAAATCAACTTCAGTGTATGCATGACCAGATTGTTTAATACATGTATCTAAATACGTTTTGCCAGGGCTATGGTAAAACAAATTCCCAATGGGACATTTGGTACTTATCTCTTGAAACCTACAGTGGGTACCCGGGTAGGGTTGAGAAATAGGGGTGGGCTGGGGGGGGGGGGGGGGGGGGGGGGGGGGGTATCGGGTATTAAATTTGAAATCATCTCAGCCCTAATAATAATAATTTATGCATTTGTATAGCGCAGCATTCACCGTGCATAAGTGCTCTGTGCGCTACAATGAAACTTATAGTCAGTGGGAGTGTTTTTTTAACAGCCCTACTGCATTATTTAGGTGCACTAGACCTACACTTCGAACTCTTTATCAAATATTTCAGGTTATGAGATAATGAATATAGGTGGGAAAGTGATTACTGTGTGATGTGGAATCATAAACGTGTGCTTCTGTAAATAGGCAAGACACGATTTGGAACTGGAATTAGCAGATTCGACAGGCCGACAGCGATCGAAGTTTATTCTCAGGGTTGTGGGCTTTTAATACTGCCAACCACAAGAAAATGGCTGGTCTTGTCAGTACAGTTACTTACTCAAGCACCGATCTTCCATAAAGGTTAAAACAGGTACTTGAAATATTGGGTTGCTTAGGAAACAAAGCAACTCATCCAGAACATATTCTCTGCTTCTCGACGCCATCTTGAATCCATATGACGCTTTGACCGATCTCGCGAGAGACTGCGAGTTTTCCCAACAAACTCCGCACTCTATACATGTAATGACATGAGTTCAAAGCGCTTCCTTTCCCTGATACATTGTATTTCTGAAGTCAAATATGCTAAACCATCAATCCCGAAGAGGCGATGTAATCTCAAGATATCAGAATTAAAACACTACTGTGATATTTATTTGCTGTTATCACTATTAACTTCTTTGAGAGACATTTAGAAGTTGGAGAAGTATACTAAGTAAAGTTTAAGATTTGTGGATGAACAACTTCTTTATTACAATTTAGGAGCGACGTTTCAGTGTAGGCTCTAACACCATTATCAAGCTCTTGCTTAAAGTTGTTCATCCATAAATCTTATCCTTACTTGATTATCAGTATTGTTTGGTATCAGACATTATTTATTATTATAAAAAAAATATAATGTAGTTTAATAACAAATCCTTTCGGAATATTTTAAAATGACAGTCAATTCCAGGTATTTTACATCCGTATATAATATTGACTGTAGACCACCTATTTAAAGAAATCCAAGCAAAAAGGCAAAACATCTTGGCAATAAAACTTGGCAATTATGGCAAATGATTGAAGTATATCAAGTCGCCCATTCAATCTAAACTAAAACTGTTCTAGATGGCAATTGATAGATAGAGGATATAATATGTTCATGTTATGTTTACGACACGAGTGTCTAAATTCTGGTATGTCCTAGTAGCGAGTGCGAGGGAAATACCGGAATTTAGGTACGGGTGTCGTAAACATAGTATGATATGAACATGAATATTATATTCTTTTTATTACCGCAGAAGATGTCTACATAAATAGACGAATTTTAGTGTTTACCTATAAGGTCATTCTGACCTCACGTCACAATATGAGTGAGTATGGTTTTACGCCGCTTTTAGCAATATTCCAGCAATATCACGGCGGGGGACACCAGAAATGGGCTTCACACATTGTACCCATGTCGGGAATCGAACCCGGGTCTTCGGCGTGACGAACGAACGCTTTAACTACTAGGCTACCCGACCGCCCCTCACGTCACAATAAGATTTGAATGACGTCAACAATGCTGTCCGGATGACGGCAACAATACACTGTTGTTTCATGACGTGATATGACCCTATGGCACATAAATTATGATTTTTATGAACCCCGATATCTTTGACCTCGTAGGTTATAAATAGTAGTATTTTCTTTACTTGGAAACAACACCTCCTGGTATTGTACAGGGGTGTAAAAACGAAAAATCATGATGTAATAAAGATGCTATAATTGTTTTTAAAGAAATACAATGTAGTTTGCTTGAAATTTCATCAATCAATATAATGGCTTAGAACTGTTATAATCGATGGTGCCAACCCCCTTTTGGTTAGCCGGATACCCTCTTTAAACTCTTTTACTGTCTGATACAGTTGGTGCCATGAGACCACTATGCATGGTGAACTTCTCTCGTTTACATGCTCTTATATCCCGTTCCCATGCGCCTCTATACATATGTGTGTATATGTGCATGCGTGCGTAGAAATACATACGTGAGTATACTTGTCATGTGAACGCGTTTACTCATGTGTGTATATTTACACCAGGAGCAAATTTGCATCATGTCTGGAGCAGGTGCAAATGTTAATGTAAATTTGCACTGTGTGTATATGTTGCAATGTGAACGTTTATGTTAACGTAAGAGGATGATCTAATTAATATCTGTTCTTTTGCCAACACCAAACAAATTGTCAACAGTTGCCAACTTCTATGCGTATATACAGAGTTGAGCGGACGGTGTTTTCTTTTGGTTTCAAGGAGTCAAAACTTTGTGTACAAATTAAATCAAACACATGTTGCTTCACGCGAAAATTATCGATGAAGTAACTCTCTTCTCATTCAACTTTGATTGAAAAGCAACCTGTTTTGTGTTGAAAGTCGTTTGACGAATATGTGTGCCTTACATACTCTATTTACATACCTAAGTTGATTTATATGTGAACGCATAGTAAATTAACATATACACACGTATGTATAGTTACAAATGTGCAAAATTACTTACGTTAGTAAATGCATGTGAACGGAGTATTTGCTTACATGCGAAGAATATACACGTATGCAAAATAATATGCATGTCAGTATTTTCGTCATGCAAACGCAAATGCACACCTAAGCAGAGTTGTATGTGGTGCAAATTAACCAAACTACTTTACATATATGCAGTTTTACACCACGAGTAGTTCTTACCTTGTATTTTAAAACGGGTAGGAAATTTGCTCGTGTGTGAATTTCTTCTGATTATGAAATCGCATTGTATAAATATATTTGTGCCCAAGACAACTCGATCGTATCTGATGTCTGCTACTCTTTCGAGATATACTCCTCCCGTTTTAGTCCACATTCGAGGTTAAACATAATGTGTAAGGAAACGTTCTCCTACGTCGCCACTAAAAGAATGCATTCTTTCCATCCTTAAACAGGCTTAACAGCTGAATTCACCACGACTTGGAACTGACAGTTATAGGTCATGTAAACGCTAAGTAAATTTACTCATCTTAACTGTTAATTACATACATGTGTAAAATTGTGTAAATTATACATATACAGGCAAATATGAGCATGTAAATGGGGCACTAGGTTTTATTATTACTTCAGTAATGCTCCCGAACTACTCGCCACGAAAACAATGTACGTTCACACACAAATTGTAAATTATACACATATAGGCAAATATGAGCATATAAATGGGGCACTAAGTTTTATTATTATTTCAGTAATGCTCCCGAACTACTCGCCACTAAAACAATGTACGTTGGCAAACTGTCGTCCAGGGTGGCTCCGTGATCTTGACACGAGGCGCCGCTATTCACTGTGCGGGGTTTCGAGCCTTATCGAGGCACGTCATAACCCTTTGATCGATGGTTCGAATCCCAGTTAGCCCCGAATATGTTTCTAGGTTTGTCAGCACCATACCCCTGCTGGTGGTTTCACCAAAGTGGTAAACGTCTGAGATCCGAATCACTTCGGGCTTTAAATTCCTTCCACATTAAGCTGACACTATGACATAACTGGACTACTGTTCAAAGCGGCGCTAAACCCAACTCACTCATGTAGTCATTTAAAATCCATTACATGCACCATCTTCAGATACACAGAGGTGGCCAGGAACGTTTATTGTTTATGAATCTCTTAAAAGAAGATTTAAGCATTTTTAACATTCTTCTTCCTTCACTAGACGTTGACAAAAGATCTGTTTTGAAGTGTCATACATCTGATGCTTATCAGGATAGTTGCTACTGCGAAGTCAATGATTGTCAATATTAAAGTATTAGCAACAAAGACTTCTCCCTTTTTAAGCGTTTGCTGTAATTACAAACACTTACCGCGCAAAGAGTATTCACTCAGAGAACCAATACCCGTGCCTGGTCGCACCGCTGGGCTTCTGGGCGGACGACGTCAACCGAGCGACTCGCCATCCCACGTTATAAGACTATAAAGACACACATCAGTAGTGTCACTAAAGGGTTCACTACTAAAATCGAAATACTAGCCAGTTCTGACATGATTAAGTATTTTGTTTTGGACGCTACTCTTTGAAAGGTTGGCAGAATATTTTGGCGGTGGTCTGTTGATGTCGATGATGGTGTGTTTCGGTCTCTGATCAAAGGTGTGACATTTTCACCGCTTTCATAAGCGTCATTGATAGTTAGTAAAATGTACGTAGTCATTAGATAGATAAATAGATAGATAGATCGAAGGATAGATAGAGAGTAGGATCTAAATAAATAAATAAATAAATAAATAAATAAATAAATAAATAAATAAATAAATAAATCTGATGTCATTGCTTACAAAATATTCCAAATCTAATTGAGAGTAGAGATACAGTAAGTAGAGATACTTTAATCCATTTACCCGAGGCGAGGGAGTTAACTGACTTTAAAAGTCCAGTTTCCAACTTTTAAAGTCAGTTAACTCCCTTGCCTCGGGAACATGACTTTAATCAAGTAATCATCAGCTTGTGTCATATGTAGATAATAATATATATCTTGAAAATCACAATCGTGATTGAGATCGATCATAATATATATATTGAAAAACATGTACGTATGATCCCGCACAAAGTAGTAGTGATGGTGGTAAGGGTAACAGCAGCAGTAGTAGTAGTAGTAGTAGTAGTAGTAGTAGTAGTAGTAGTAGTAGTTGTAGCAGTAGTAGTAGAGGAAGTAGTAGAGGTAATGGTATAGATACTATCAGCGGTTTGGTAGAAGTATTAGTAGAGGTATTATTATTAGTAGTAGTAGTAGTGGTGGTAGTAGTGGTGATAGTAGTGATAGTAGCAGTAGTAGTAGAAGTAGTAGTAGTAGAAGTAGTAGTAGTGGTAGTAGTAGTGATAGTAGTAGTAGTAGTGGTAGTAGTAGTGATAGTAGTAGTAGTAGTAGTAGTAGTAGTATTGTAGTAGTGGTAGGCGTAGTAGTAGTGGTAGGCGTAGTAGTAGGGGTCTTAGTAGTAGTAGTAGTAGTAGTAGTAGTAGTAGTAGTAGTAGAAGTAGTAGTAGCAGCAGCAGTAGTGTTCGAAGTATTAGTAGAGGTCGTAGTAGTAGTGGTAGAAGTAGTAGTAGAGGTCGTAGTTTTGGGGGGTTTGTTTTGTTGTTTAACGCCGCACTCAGCATTATTCCAGCTATATGACTGCGGTCTGTATTAATCCAGTGATTGACATCATGAGCATCGATCCACGCAATTGAGATCGATGACATGCATCAACCAAGTCAGCGAGCCTGGCCACCCGATCCCGTTAGTCGCCTTTTACGACAAGCATAGTATCCTTTTACGGCAAGCATGGGTTACTGAAGACCTATTCCCTCGGGTCAGAGGTCGTAGTTGTAGTAGTAGTAGTAGTAGTGTTCGAAGTAGTAGTAGAGGTCGTAGTAGTAGTTGTAGTAGTGGTGGTGGTAGAGGTAGAAGTAGTAGTAGTAGGAGTGGTAGTAGTAGTAGTAGTAGTACTAC